TGAGGAAGTGAGTTCAAAGTGGCTAGGTCTGCTCTATTACAGACACAAGCCTGCACAAATAAAGAGGGATTTTTGGACCAGCCAGCTATAGTTTATAGCAAGTTCGTTCATACCTGAAAGGAATTATTTGGGGAATCTTTGATTTTTAGCTTCTTATGGTGTCGCACAGGCATCATGGAGTCAACTAAAAACCTGAGATTTGTTGTTTCTTACGCAGAATCACACTAAAAAGTATGTGACAGAAAAGATTTTGGAGGGCTCTCCTGAGAGGCAGAGGAGGCTTTATTCCCTGGATTTGATAGCAGAGGGACAAGAAAGGCAAGGGGCCTGAACTTTCAGGCATTTGGGCTCCTGGCAGCATAATGTACAGGAAGCTCCCATCCTGCAGAAACTCCTGGACAGGCTGGACCAGCTCCAGGGCTTGGCTGGTTCTTATCAGAGCTGGACCAAGCTCAGCTGCTATCCAGAGTGCTGTGCAGAGTCGTTTTGCTTCAGCTACGGACAACAGGGTCTTATTATGGGGCTGAACACACACAGGACAGGATCTGTCTCTGATTGCTGCTCCTACTCCAAGAGAGAAGCACATGGGGGCCAGAGGCGAGAGGGAGAGGGAGACAGTGGTGTGTGATATTTGTAATGGGGTTAGTGTTCTTCAAATTCTCATCCAGCCAGACTGGTTAATGCAGGGGAACCTTGTGAGATGGAGGATAAACTAAATGACTTGTCTGGAAGCCTTCAGACTTGGGAGGACATAGAACATGTCAAAAAGTGAGAATGGGAATAGATAGACTGCGTTCAAATCTAAGCCCACCACATGTAAGCTACATGATTTGAGCGAGTCACCTAATCTCTCTAAGACTATGTCCTTGTTTGTACAATGAGGACAACTGATTTATTAGTATTAAAGCATCAGCTCAGAATCCGGTCCATAATAAGATTCAATAAATGCTAGATCTTTTGGTAAATTGACTACAAACTTAATCTAAGTTGAATAATCACAGACCAGCTCTTCACCCCCAAGCTTTCTCCACTGTTCTAAACTGCCTTCTACAGCCTGAGTGAACTTTCCTCTGGCCAGAGAGGCAATTACAGCAGAAATCATCAGGAGAGCCCAAGCCTGAGTATGACCCCATGATGTCATGCCACTGTTCCTCTGTTAAGGAGCAACTGCTTCTAGGGCTCACCGTGAAAGCTCTGACCTGATTTTCACTAAGCAAAGAGGCATTTCTTTACAATTCCCAGATGCCCAGCCCAAGCCAGGAATAAAGTACACAGAAAAAGAAAAGATCCATAGATGTCCTATTCAACCAGACTGGTGTTTGGAGTCTGGGGTAGAGGGATTTGGAACCAACTTTTTCTTTTCCTTTTTACTATTTTTACCACTTTTAAGTGTGCAGTTCTGTGGCGTTAAGTACATTTACTTTGTTGTGCAATCATTAACACCATCCCTCTCCAGATCATTTTTCATCTAGCAAAACTGAAACTCTGTAACCATGAAACAATAACTCTCTATTCTCTCCTCCCAGCCCTTGGCAACCACCATTCCACTTCCTGCCTCTGTAAAGTTGACTATTCAAGGTATCTTATATAAGTGGAACAATACTTTGTATTTTGTGTCTTTTTGTGACTGGTTTATTTCACTTAGCACAACATCCTCAAGGTTTGTCTGTGTCATAGTCTGTGTCAAATATTCCTTCCTTTCTAAGGCTCAATAATATTCGGTCGTAAATATACACCATACTTTGCTTCTCTATTCATTTGTCCGTGGACACTTCAGTTGCTTCTGCCTTACAGCTATTGTGAATAATGAATAATGCTGCTATGAAAATGGATGTATAGATAGATATCAGTTTGTGTGCCTACTTTCAAATCTTTTGGATGTATACCCAGAAGTGGGTTTGTTGGACCATATAATAATTCTATTTTTGATTTTTTGAGGACCTCACACTGTTTTCCATGGCAGATGTACCATTTTACAGCCTCACTGTCAATGCACAAATGTTTCAATTTCTCCATATCCTTTCCAACACTTGTTATTCCCTCCCTCCCTCCCTCCCTCTCTCTCTCCCTCTGTGTGTGTAGTGTATGTGTGTGTGTGTGTGTGTGTGTGTGTGTGTGTGTGTGTGTGTTGTGTGAAGTAAATAATAGCCATCCTAATGGGTGTGAAGTGATATCTCAGGGAGGTTTTGATTTGCATTTCCCTAGTGACTAGTGATACTGAGCATCTTTTTATGTGCTTATCAGCCATTTATATATCTTCTTTGGAGAAATGTCTATTCAAGTCCTTGGCTCATTTTAGAATCCAGTTGTTTGTATTTTTTGTTGTTGAGTTGCAGGAGTTCTTTATATAATCTAAATATTAGGCCTTAACCCTTTCTGCACATCTTTAAGTAACTCTTAAGTCTGACAGGTAGGGGTGCTGAACCCATAAAGCAGTGGTTCTCAACCCTTACAGAATATCAGAATCAACAAGAATGTTAAGAAACACTGATGCCCAGACTCTGAGTTGTTCTGGGGTGAGATGTGTTTTAAGAAATCTCCTGCAGGTGGATCTAAGAGGCATCTGGAATTGAAAACCTCTACAAAGTCTTTGGTCGCTTGGGAGGTGCTGCCCACCACCACTAGCTGCTGAGAAAGTGAGAGGGGATCATGAAAAGGAATGGCTAGATCCCAACTCCACAGAGAAGCCCTGAGATGTCAGGCTGGCAGGACAGTAATAGGAAGAAGGGCAGGTCCCACCCCAACTTTGCCACCTAGCACTGCTCTTTCTCACCAACCCCATTGTGAGTCATGCTGCAGATGTACCAGGAGGAAACAATCCACCACTGCCCCAGAGAAGGTGCAGGAGAGAATGAACCCTGCAGCCCTACTGTAGCTCCCGGGAAGCCCAGCAAGTGGAGTGGGCATTGAGTGTGGGCGAGGAGGTCAAGTCCTGGTCTGCTGCTGCTCTGGCACCAATAATACTTCCTTTGGCTTATTGCCTTCCTGTGCCCCGAAGTCTCCTTGTAAGAGACTGAGCTAGTGCAGTGGTCAAAACCCGTAGTGTACCTTAGATTCACCTACAGAGCATTAAAAAACAAAAACAAAAACAAAGAAAACCTGCCTCCCCCCCCCTCCTCACCCTGGTGATTCTGAGTCTAGTTGTTCTAGGTGTGGCCTTAGGGTGACAGTTGGAAAGCTCCTCTGTGAATCTATTATGCAGTCAGGGGTGAGGACTCCCATCCAGTGCTTCTCCAAGTTCCCTCCCTGGTGCTAACATTTTTATGGTCCTGGTGTACCACTTTTGGCCTGAGCACTCACATAGCACTCAGCATATCCCAGATGTCCCCTGCTTTGCACAGCCCGTGTGACAGACATGGAGTGCTGACTCGGCACTCATTGTGAGGCTGAGGGGACCAATTCCTCCTAGGGATTGAGAAAGAAATTAATTCTGACCTCCACAACCCCAGAAGAACCCTAATCCCACAACCTCCAGAAGAACCCTGCATTCTGCATCACTTCAAAGATAGAGGGTCCAATGGAGACAGTCACCACAGGGAAGAAAAGGCCAGTTTGTCCACAGGCAGCCAGCTGGAATACAAGCAGGAACAGCTGATGGAGTCTCAGCTACTTTCAAACAAGGTCTTATTAAGGGCACAAAGGATGTTCCATGCAGAATAGAGATTTTGGCCCTGAGGAAGGCACTCCTCATTCTGAGCCTACATGGGTAAATTGATAGTGAGAGCTCACAGGTTGCCCCTGAAGGCCCAGTCTAATCAGTTTGTGCTTGGGGAGAGAGGAACCAACTTGCAAAGAATAAGAGCCAACAGCATGGAGACAGGCACTGGTAGTGCCTTTAGGAAGGCCTGCTGACTGGTTGAGCTAGCTGGAAAATTCTATGTCAGCCTGCTTTTCTTCTTTCTCTCTTGCCTCTCATTTCCATCCCATATCCTCAGCTCCCATATTTAGTTAACCATCCTCTTAACCTATCCAGTAGTAGAGAGGACCTCATCTCTGCAGATTTCTTACCCTAAATGCCTCCACTACCCATCTCTGGGTCACAGCTACTGTCCCTACATGTAGTGGGGACAGCAGGGAGGGGATGCACATCATACCTAGCCCCAGGATAGGGAGGGTAGGCTAGGTCAGGAAGTTCCAAAGTACTCTCAATGAAAACAACTCACACCTGGGGATCTATGGGAACTTAGCCTTTTACAGCCTCTTTGTCCTTGGTTTTGAGTCTGTAGATGGGGTCTCTCAACTTGCAGGAGTTTGTAGTTATTCTGGTAAATAATCTATGACAACTTATGTCAGCTAATGTGCTTTAAGTGCCAGGCAGTGTCATGTTATTTATTGAATACTTAATTTCTCCCCCACAACAATCTGCCCTCTGTGAGTCCCACTTTCTCCTGGCTGGACTCCAGATGGAACTGAATTCCTGAGTTTCCTGATTTTCCTCTTCCCAGGTATGAGACGTTCTTTAACAGCCTACTTCAAAGGACTGAAGATAAGCATCTGCAATTATAAACTCCTGACAACTTCCTGATAGCCCTTCCTTTGGCTCCAGAGGACAGGAAGAAAGCAGATGGTGGCTGTACTAGGGGAGGGTCTCAGGAGTGTGTTGGGAATTAGGGAGGAGGTTTTATTTTAGTTTGCAATTTTATTCTGGTGGAAAACACCAAGGAGGCTGGAAGGGAGAACAGGGCAGCCTGCCATTGCCATCTAGCGGAGAGAGGGAGGAAGTCAGGTAGAAGAGGGCATTCCTAAATGCCCTGTGATACAGTGGGAAAGCTGGGAGAGATTGTGGAGGCCACCTACTTCAACCTTGCTCTTGAAGATAAGATGAATTCAGAAGGTTACACAACTTTCCCAAAGTCACAGAGCCACCAGTAGCTCTTTCTCTTCAAGCTCCCAACCCACTCCCTCCATTACCAGCTCCCACACAAAGTAAGTTCACAAGACAGGTCAGTTCCCTAGTGCTCTTCAAGGTCCGTGATACCCTCCCCCTCCGTTCTCCCTACCTTTCACCAATGGGAAGAAGCAGTCCATCTCCACGCTGCTTCGGGAATGGGAGATGCATAGGGCGCTGCTGGGGACCAGGCCCTCCTGAGGGGGACTCCGTTCTGTGGTGCGGACCAGACACCAGCCGGGCCGCTCGCTGGGCCGCTCCAACAGCTCCACCGTCTGTCCCACCTGGATGGTCAGCTCGCTGCTGTGGCCTGCGCTGAAGTCCTGGAGGACCACGGTCAGCTCACACCCGCCAGAGAGCTTCGGTGATGGTGGTGATAGGTGAGAAGTGAGGGTGTGGGGGACGGAGGAGAAAATGTGGGAGAAGGTGGGCGAGAGTGGAGGAAGGAGGAATGGGAGGAATGAGAAGGGGAAAGACGGGA